CACATGCTGGAATGTGGTGATGCCCTATACTATAGGGTGATGCCTTTTTCTTTGACCCTGGTGAGTCCAAATCAGGGCAAGATCCTGTTCCCACTGCTGTCAATATCAGCACTGCCATCAGTAGAGACATTACCATTACCTCTACTCCTGCCCAAGCCTAGCCAGAGGGGTCTCCAGGGAGGAGAGCTGCCTCACATAGACTGGGTGGACAAAGTCATGTTACCCTGGAGGGATGTGGAAAATGAGAGAAAAATAGGTCAGAAATCTGAGCCGGGGTAGTCTGCCCTTGAGATGCCTGGTGGTAGCTTCCAAGGGCCTGGCAATTTCTGCATTTCAGTGACTTCTATGAACAGAAATAAGGAGCAGCACACACATAAAGAAATCCAGAAGAGACTGTTTAAAGTGCATGTATAGGATTAAATAACTTCTTGTAAATAAAGAAGACCTTGTCTATTGCCTGTATTCTGCAGTGAGCTAGCTAACACCACCAGGAATTTGGATTAGCATGAACCAGTATGACCCTTATCTGCTTGCTTTAATTCAAATTGCATTTTATTCTGTTGCAATCCCTTTCTCAAGGTCAGGATTTGGATGAAAAGACTATTGGGCTGTTGCTGTTACAGAGAGATAACTCACTTTTAAAAAAGGGGAGGAAATAAATAGAAGCACAGCAGAGGGTTAATTTTAGGTGTCAGACCTGCCACAGGCTGCCTGAGGGTAAATATCTGTGGCTCCTTGTCTGGCAGAGGGTGCCTAACTGGTAAGTGTGCTGGTTTGTCTATTCCTGTACCATAACACTTGCATATTAAGGTGAAAAATAAATACAAGTATGGGGAGGTTTTGATATTTTAGTCCTCTGCTCTCTGCATGCGGCTCAGGGTCAGATCCATCCCTGAGACACCAGAAGCTGGGCTGCTGAGAGTGAAACTGCAGTCACCTGTGGGGTGAGCTTGGTTTGAGCAGCCCAGAGAAGGGATCTCACCTGCAGGTGCAGAGTTGGTATGAGATTATTGTTTGCACTCTTTTCCCAGATTTGTTTTGCATTGTTAGGTGGGAAGCTAATAATAAAGGCTTGAGAAAATATTGCCAGGGTAAAAAGCCCCATCAGATTGGAGGTCCCTAAGCCTGAATAAAGACCACAGGCTTGAGGCTTATGTGCACAACAGTGAACCAGAACAGCTGCTGAATCAACTGTTCCCCTGACAAATTACCCTGCCACTTGAAGCTGGAGGTCACAAGGAAAAAGGAAATCGGAGCTCAGGCTTTGGGAACAATGGGTTAGATCCTCCACTGATAGGGATCCCTTCTGCTGAGGCAGAGGGGTTATGCTCCTTTCTACCTGCAGACTCATGGGGGAGGCTAGGGAGGAAGGTCTGAAGGCTAGAGGTTGTGGTTTGGAGGGAAACCTGGAGAAGAATAAATATTGCAGTGGGTGGAGGCAGAAGAGGGACTGCTGAGAGGCTGTGCCAAATGAGCATTACCTCCCCAGCAGGTCAGTGTGCTGTGCTGAACTGCAGCCGACGATCAATCCCTGATCCTCAAAATTAAATTAGAATGAATACTCACAGCTGGGAAACAAGCTATGCTTTTCTTGTAGAAAGGTATGAAAGCTACTGCATCTAGAAACAAAATCAGAATTATCATATACTGAGAATCCATTTACTGGACATCAGTCAAAATCAGTGTATTTCTGCGAAGGTCAACTGTTTTGGGCTGTGTGGTGTACCTGTTGTAAAACTATCACACTCATCAGACCAATGCTGAATTAAGCATTTTTTAAAGCAAGTGCTCCTTCATTATAGTGTCATGTTTTATTTTGCTTGGCTCTTGGTCTTGGAAGATCAGTGGCCCCTGGTTCAGTGTATGGATTTTGTGGACTGAGCAGAGCAAATATTTTGGCCAGCTTGAGTGTGCCTCTGAAAAATAACACTCTGTAGCCCAAACAGAAGCTCTAGGCCCGCCTAAAGAAAGTATGGCTTTAGAGTCATTGTCTTTCTGCTAAATCAGATCAGATGGTCATAATGTTCACTTCTGGATTTAGCATCTGTGCATTTTCCACCAATATTTATATACATCTTTCCTTTGATCTCAAGGACATTTGTGGGTACAGTTGAAAGCTTGCTTTAGAAACAACTCTCCTTTCAAGCCCTGCCCTAGAACTACCAAGAATTAAGTACTTTGCTTGGCTTTTTCAGTATGTTATGTGGCTTTGCTTCTTGTCATTTGAAGGCAGTTAACTGGGACCATTTCTCTGCTTGAACATGTCCATGGAGACAGCTGCATGGACTGGTCTGGTCTCAGGGAGCAGCCTCCTGCCCACCTCACTGGTGAAAGGCAGCATGACCTTTCACAGCCTCCTCTGAAAAGCAATTGCATTTCTGCTGGTCCCTTGAGCAATTTCTTGAGAAAGGCTTCGTGGAGGTTTCACATGCATAGCTGATGGCTCCAGCTGGATAAGGAGATTAGGGAGTGAGTTTGGCATAGTGATAACAACGTGTAAAAATGAAACAGGATGCCATAGAAATATTATATAAGATAATTCCAGTTATCGGTTGTAAAGAATGTTCTACTTGCTTCTGATTGCTCATATCTTCTATTTTTATCGGTTTCCTTCTGCTTGTCTTTGTGACGTTTCCCGTTATAGCAGGTCTGACCCAACCAACTGCAAATAAAGATAACACTGATAACTATAAAGTGAGGAGGTGGGGGAACTTGCACACTTGGGCTGCCTTTGACTGTTAAGTGTTTTCCAAATGGACTACTTAATACTAGGGTTTGATCTCTCATACCTGCAGCTCTAAGGGTTTCTGCTAGGTATAATGAAAAGCCAGCTGCTGCAGACACAAGTTCTCTGTGAGATGGAAAATAAGAACCAGGGCCTGAAGCTCTCCAGGCTGGCAAGAGAGAAGTGAAGGTTTTGCAGTGAAGGCAGAGGGTGAGCTCTCAGTTTGGGCTTCCTACGAAAAGGTTGCGTACATCAGGCTACAGAGCAGCTACAGATCAGCCCAGCTCCCCTGAGCTCTGTGCTGCCTGGATGTAAACCACTTCTAGTCACTGCTTAGGGCACATTGGGATCAACCTCAGCACTGCACCCATACTTTCCTACAGCCAGAGCTGGCATCTGGACACCCATACACTTCTGTGTGAACCCATGCAGATATACCCTCAAGTAAACATGCTCTCACTCCAGGAAATGACTACATGCTGCCAGAGGGTAGCTGCACCCTGCTCCATGCATGGCTGGGGAAGTCTTCTCAGTAGAAGCATTGCAGATGATGCTCCTGCAACAGCTTTGCAGACATGGCCTGAGGCTGGGGGGACTGCAGTAGTCACAGAGTTGCCCAGAGTCTGGGCAACCCAGACAGGTTTCCAGGGCAGGCAGGAAAGGGGAGAAGAGGACGACCTCATCTTCCTATGAATCAGTGGCCATCCAGTGAAACACTGCCCTGGAGCTTCTTCTTCCAAGGCCTGAGGACTAACTTTCCCCTCCAAGAGGTGCAACACAGAATCTTGTCTGCATTTGTGCTGTACCACAGTTATTCATAAACATTTTGTTGTTGTTGTTGTTGGCTTTGTACCACACGACTAGTTTATTAGTCTGCAACTGTACAAAACAGAATCTCTCAAAATATATACAGGAGAGACCTTGCTATATTGGGCTTTGATTTTTGCTTGAGACCCTGGTGCTTTACCATCACATTGTTATTAACAATGTAGGGCTTAAATTCAAAATGCTGTTTCTATATAATGCTGGCATTTCTATGTTGTGTGATTTCTATTATAAAAAACATAAGTAGCCAGAGAGCAATACCTGTGCCTGGAGGTATGTATGCTCATTAGGCCAACCAGCAGCAAGGCTACCAACCAGCATAAGCCACAGCTGATGAAGCCAGGGACTTTAGCTACTGGGGACTGGAGAAAAATAAATCTGACAGTCTCCCTGACTATTTTGTGTCTCTCAGGCAAAAAACTTAGTTTGGGCCAAAGAAAGTGCAACACTTGCCTAATGAGTTTAAGATTTTTCTACCTCCCCAACAAGCAGGAAATTAGAAAATGTGAGCTCTGTGTGATGGTAATTATATGACAGGTTTGTTGCTGGCCTTTGGTCTATGGCAAAGATGATGAGCGAGTGAACTAATCACACATTTCTAGGCACTCAGTGGCCGGTGAATGCTCTTTCTCCTATTGCATGCAATCAGAGATGTGTCCTGTGTCAGCCATCCTACATGAGTCAGTGGTAATGACAGAGGAAGTGGGAGCTGTGTTTACAAGCCCTGGAGGATGCTCGGCAATGCAGGCTTGCAGCTTGGCTTACACTTTACATCTCCAAAACTCTTATTACATAATCCAGAGCTATATAGAAAGGGATTTCAGATCCTTTTTCAAGGAGAGGATGCAGAGGGACCTGGCTGACCTGAACCCTTAAGATCACTTGTTATGTACTTGTAACTCTCCTGTGATGAGAATAATCCTTTCCAGCCTTAAAAAAAATCTGCATCAACAGAGCATCCCTGAGGGCTAGCTACCCAATGCCTTGTGCAGAGCCATTGGGCTCCAGCTGAGCACAAAACCTTCCTCCCTTGTTGGGGGGACTACTACCCTACAGTTATTTCTCCCTTTTTACTGGGCCCAGTGTCTCTTCTGGAGGGTGCCACAACAAAACCCAGGCTCCCCAGGGGCAGGTGCCACAGTGGACAGCTGTGTGCAATGTGTGCCCAAAGCCTGTAGCCAGGATCACTGCACCAAACACACGAGACAAGCTTGCCTGGGGTATTGTAAACCCTGGGAGTTTACTCAAGGTGAGGAATTGTTCCTAACATTTTGATATTTCTCCAGATCTAGGTGTACCAAGAGATATCCCAGCACCCAGGCCTGGCCCTGGTTAATAGGGTGTAGAAAGGGGACGGGTGAGTGGGTGCCCGTCAGGTAGTATCAGCACTCTTTCTGTGAGCTTGTGAAACAGGTTAGGAGAAAAAAACATCTGAGGCCACAAGCACAGTTTGTAATTCATATTTTATTGCTTTGTACAAGTGAAGAACTAGGGGAAAAATGAGAACTACAAGATTTAAAGGTAATGTGAAAGCCCACAGTGGGAGTCCACAACTGCCACTGAAGGTTGATTTGCAGCCTGGTGACACGGGAAAGTGTTATGACTAAGGCACAGTGGTTCCCCTTTTTTAAATAAATAAAATGACAGAGATGAAGAAAAAAAAAAAAGGTGGAAGCCAACTAATGCTGACAATCACCTTTGTCATAAATAACTACACCAGGGTTATTAAAATAAGGTGACCAGCAAGTACCTAGACCCAAAATACCTGAAAACACCTGGCGTGGAGAGTGAGCTGCAGGAGGGAGCCCTTTTGACAAGCTTAATGTTCCAAGGTTTTAATGTAATTAAAGGCCATTTTTGATGCAAGTTTAAATATTGTCAGCAATGCTGCATGGGCCTGCCTCTGGAGAACCAGCAAGCAAGAGCATTTGCACTCTCACAGGGGGAGGGAAATGAAAATAATAAACAGACTGCACAGTGAGATCCCAAAAGAGCAGTGCCCAAGCTGAGAAGTCAACATTTTTCCAAAGCTTGGCTTTGGTTTACATTCCTCTAGAGGAAAAAGCGACTTGGATAATTAAGCTGATGGAGATTTTCCAAGCTGTTCAAGACACTGAAAACATGTATCTTGTCCTCAGCTTAATGTTAGGCACCCTATAAATATATTTTAAAAAATTCCCAAACTCTGCATTTTTAATTATCCTAAGTATTCTGGGAACACAATGTAATATGGCTATAATATTTAATGAAATTGCAGTGCTAAAGAGCTACATATGCATGGAAAAGGGATATGCTGTGCCTGGTATTGCTTGCCTGTCCAAATACTTGGCTAGCTATCTGCCCTCACCTTGCCTTTCAAGCGGTTGCTCTGCATGACTTTCTTTCAAGCCTTTCCCGCTTCTCTTTCCTCTCCAGTAGCTAAAAATGGGATGTGTATCTGCAGAACAGAAATAAAAACCCCCCTCCTGACCAGACCATCACTTCTTTGATCCCAAACACGAAAACAGGCTTCAAGCTGGCAAAGTTGCTATTTTGAGTAATGCAGTGTCCTGGGGAGCCCTATTTCTTCCTTTTAACAGAGACAGATGATAGCTGCTGCCCCAGAAGCTGATTTTGGCTGCCATCATACCCCCACAGCTCGGCAGACAGGGCCTGCTGAAGGAGGGAGTAAGGAGGCCAAGGGCAGGAAAACTCTACTGGCATGGACCTCACACGGGATATTGCAATAGATAAACAGTGATACTGAGGCAGGCTGCTCTAGAGAGCTGGAGAAACTGCTCACAGGCTTTAAGTTATGCACAGACATAAGCTGAGTCAGTGATTAAATATCAGACACTTTGCGGAACTGCTCTTCACAGAGTGGAAATTCATCTTCCAACCAAGGGCTAGCAGGTCTTGTTCAATGATTAAATGTGATTGAAACTCTCAAAACACGACACACTTGCATGGCATAGACCCCATGTGCTGTACAAGGGTGGATATTGCTGCCAGGATCAACCCCCATCCATGAGAACGAAAACCACAAGTAGTCAGCAAGGCTGACTGGGGTACCTGCTAGAAATTAGGGACAGTCACTAAAAATTTTCCCTGAAGTCTGCATTTTTCTACATAAATGGTTTTCAGGAAAAAATTGAAATATTTTTCTAAAATTTTATCTCCAAAAAGTGCATAATTCTGAAAGAAATAGATAATCCACAGCATTGTACAATTTATAAAATTATTATTCTATGCTGGACAAAAATGCAAATGGAATTTCTCAGCTACTTTTTCTTGAAAGAAACAGGTTTTACTTGCAACTGATTGCCTAAACCATACTTGGCAGTTAACACTTCTAGCTTGTGTTTAATCCAATTTGGTTTTAATTACATGGACTGCTGCAAGTGTTCACACTGGCAACGCCAACATTTGCTTTCTTTGCTAGGTGAAGCTGATGAGTCCATGATACGCCCTCTGCGTGTCCCCCCTCCTCGACCTTACAGTGACTGCAACAATGCAACAGTGAATGCAACTACTGATGGCTAGGCACTTTTGCAGCACCAGGGCCATCACAGACCCATCAGCTTCACCATCAGTCCACAGTTATTTAGCCTGACCAAGGCCAGCACCTGCAGCTCTGCAGATGGGCAAGCAGCTAGCCTGGTTCATACCAGATATCAGTCAGGTTGTCCCCGTGCAAAATGCAATCCTTTCCCATTTTGCTAGGAAGACTTTGCCTCAGGAATCTGCATGCTTGGCTGCTCCACAGCCAACTGGTTTTCAAAGACACAACACAGCTTGTAATTTTCTATGAGCTTGGCTTGAAAATACTCCCTGTCCTTCTTGTGCCAAATGTCTGTGGCGATGTAGGTGTTGTAGGGGTCGCGGGAGTCCTCCAGCCTCCTGGCGCGGATGTTGGTCAGCATGACTCCCACTGTGAAGAAGCCAAAGAGGCCGACCATCAGCAGCACGTAGATGATTTCAAGGTTGCTGCTGGCACTTTTGACCTGGGAAGATGCAGAGCTGTTTGTCTGCTCCAGGTAGTCTTGAAGAAGCTTGGAGAGGAGCGAATTCAGGGCTGTGTTGTTAGACAGCACCAACATCTTGTTCTTTGTTCTTCGCACTTCTTTCTTCCCTAATTATCGTTTAGCTAGAAAATAATAAAAATAAGGGACATGCCATCAGATAAAGATGCAATTCTCTCTGTTTCCCTTTACTGGTTGACCTCCTCAGGGAAAAAGCTACCTCAGGGCCAGCACAGATGTAGGGTAGTTGGACAGGCCTGAAAGGACCTCAACCCCCTGTTTCCAAGCCAGGCTAGCTAGGCTGAGTCCATCCCCCATAAATGCATGCCCTACAAAACCTTCTCAGTCATCACAGATGGTCTGTCATGGTATACATCTGCCCCAGCTGTTGGCCACTCACCCAGATACCTCACTCAGGCCTCCCATGCTGCTATTTAAAGCCCGTGACTTCTCCCCGGAGCCCCCACGGGCATGAGAAGTGTCTTTCTCCCACTCTGCAGCAACTGATTCTGGCTTTGAAGATTGTGATCATGGCTGCCCTCGGTCCTCTCTCCTCTACTTTCAGCTTAAGGATTGAATTTGGAAACAAAACTTCTGCACCTGATCTTCAATGAGTGGAAATCAGTACCTGCAGCAAGATCCTTCTGTACACCCGTGTTGATCAGTCTTACCTTTCTTCTGCAGCTCTCATAATGATATACACCATGCAAAACTGAGCAACCAAACCTTGTCAGAAATGTATCCCACACTAATTTAATGCAACTTCACAGCAGGAATTTGACCGGGGAGTGGACACAGATGGAGTCTATAGTAACTGCCTATATCGCAGTAGAAAGGAAAAGCATCTTCCCCAGGTAGTTTATTGCTTTCCCCTCCAAATTAAATTGCTATGCAACCAGTGTTTTGTTGTCTGGTGAGAAGGACTTCCACCAGCAGCACCACAGGTCAGGAACAGGGCAGGAGATAGTTACACCAAGAAGCACCTGGATGTCCAAAGCCTCTTAACCACAGTACTCTACACTGACAAGTCTTACACAAGATGCTGAAGGGTCCTTTTCCCATTTCCAATGTCAGCTGTAAATCAGTTAGTAAGAATGATCCTATCAGCACTGCAGTCCCAAAACCTTCAGCAGCCAGGTAACATGACTGACAATCTCGCTACAATGCCTAATTTTAATGTCTCCTGAAAAATTAAGACAACAGTCTCCCTCTGGTTTTGCCCTTAGCACATCTGAATGAGGTACTGTTATTCAAGGTGACTTCTGTGACAGCAATCTTGTAATCACATAAGATGGCTGTCAGTGCTTTCTACAGTTTTAAATCTGTGAGAGCAGGACAGCATGTTAGCAAAAGCTCCTCCAGCTTACTTACCTTTTGTTGTTTGTTTTTTGTTGTTTTTTTTTTTTTAAAAAAAGGTATTATATCATAATCCTTTATAATACATCAAGAATGAAATGAACCCTTGGGCAGAAAGCCACCAAAAAGTCTAGGCAGCAATTACACCCCTCCGTGAGGGTGACGTTAATGATGCATAGATGTTGTGCAGGACCTTTGCATGAGAGGGAGTTTAGCTGTGCACACAGCCTCCAGATGCCAGCAATGACACTGCAGTAATGAGATGTATCTGGAGGCTTCTTTGAATTGTCTGAACCTTGCTATGGCATAAATGCTGCAAAAGGAGATGCTAAGACAGAGGAAGCAAGAAGAGGACACTGATCTTGTGACCTGCCACCCCTCAGACAAAGAGCAGTGATTTACCCAGTATGTTCTGTGTAAGCAGGTGCTGTTGGCAGCTGAATGAAATACTTAGTTAATGCAGACATGAATATGATGCAACACACTCACATAAATTAATTGCTAATGTAACTGCATGTGCTGATTTTTAGTCTGAACCCTTCTGCTAGACCTCCCAGCTGTGCAGTCATGGATTTGGGGCCAGGTCTCACTGAAAGTCAGATGCTCAGCCCAGGATGATAAATACTGTGGAGAAAGCCCTGTTCCCACCAGACAACCCTGGGGGATGTGAGTGGCACCAGCCCATGCCAGATGACATCAGCCTGCTGCCCCTGATGAGTGTGTGACAATTGGAAACCCAGGTCAGGCTTCTGTGGGCTCAGACTCACCCTGCTCCAAACAAGCAGGTCCTGTGATGGGGTGCCTCGCCAGCAGGAAAAATGAACACACATGAAAGTATGCCTTGGTATTTTGACTTTAAATAGAGCTGACCCAGGGGGTGGCAGAGGGAGACAAAAATTGCCAGTATAAAACAATATTCTGATCCAATTTATTTCTTCATCAGTTGCATGAGTCAAAGCTACAGGAAATAGCGTCTTGGCAGCTTGGGCTTAATAGTTAAAATCTATTCACATTTCACAGCTGTTTTCAGATCCTTTAAAAAGGAAAGGAAGAGAAAAAGAAGTTTAAACCTTTATCTGAGATTACTCCTCCTAAGCATGTAGAACGTGTTGACACTGTAAAATGTAAAGCTGCTAACAAATCATTGTGATAACTTTAAGACAATGAAAGAAGAATTACACTGGTGCTCTCGACTTTTTCCAGAAAGACAGGCAATCATTTCTCATAATAATTAGCAGTAGCACTGAAGACACTTCAGGTGCTGATGAACTGACATTTTAGGGCTGGATATTCTCAGCTACCTCTCTATATTTTTTGGGGAAGTTTCTGAGGGTTGAAAGGTATTGCCCACTTCTGGGTTGCTTGCACTCCAGTTGGGCTGGAAACTGCAGGGAACTGAGCAGCCTCATCTTTGTAACCACATCAGATGGCAGTAACAGGAGAGGCTAAGGGAGGGAAGGGGCACGCTTCCATTCCCCATTAAATCTCCTGAAATCTCAACAAGCCCTGTGCAACTCCAGTGAAATCCATACTGGAACTCGTTTAGAGCTGCAGTACACAGGAGGGGAAGAACCACTTGTGTCATTGGCCTACTCCATGACAGATGGTCACATCTCATGGTCCCAAAAGCTCTCTCTTTTGGCCATAACCCCAGTTATGGCTTTCTCTCCTCACTACTCTCCCCAGATGACTGCTGATGGGCTCCAAACCATGATCAGTCTCCTTGTGGGGCTTCCCCAAGGAGCTCTGAGTAAAATCATGCTCAGCCCAAAATCAGCATCCTGGTTTACCCAGGTTGCATCCTGGTAAGCCAGGACCTCACTTGGGTTGGTGGTTCCCACCCCACACCATCTCACAGGAGGTTTCAGTGCATGCTGGGGAATCACCCCCTCCTACCTCTCTTGGGAGGGGCAAGCACTGAGCAGTGAACTGCCTGTGTTAAAAATGACCTGGGGCAAAACTGAACAGTTCAGCAACTTTTTCACTGGCCAGTGATTCAGAGCGAATTCCTCAAAGTTGGCAGCAGCCTGGGCCACATCCTGCTCTAAGATGCATTGCTGCTTCTCCATCCATTACACTAAATACAGGTGACAGATCTTCAAAGCAAAAGCAATGGGCTCAGTGAAGGTTGTTTTCCAACACACGGGTTTCCCAGCAGTGCCGGTATACTACTAGCACTGCCCAAATTCATCTTCCATCAGGTGTCAACAATGACCTGAAGCACTGCCCCATTGGCCATGGTCCATGGTGCCAAGCAGCACCACTGGAGCTGGCCCTTGCTTGCCAAGCCTTGTCCCTTTTCTCACTGTCATTGGCTATTTTCCCTCTTTCTTATGCCAGAGATTTCTTGTGGGAGGTGGGGAGGGACCTCCTCTGGGTGCTATCTTCATGAAGACTGTGAGTTTAGGATAGCAAACAAGATGCCACAGGCAGGTTTCTGGAGTTGAGGAACAGACAAAAGCAGGACTATAGGAGACAGATCTGTACCATAAATGTCTCTGTGTGGTCAGCTGGATATGGCCTACAGATTCTACCATCAGTGGAGGGAGGAAAAGCATCTGAAGTCAACTTAACCACGCTTTCAAAAGTATTTTAAAATATTGCTTATAAATGAACAGGTTCTCAGGAGGTGTAAAACCATGCATTCAATCTAACATCAGTGAATATTTGAGGATCCTAGACAGTGTTTGCTTTTTCTGTCTGTTGGCTGTTATTGCTGGGGATGCCTTTAACCTCGACATTGCTCTACGCGAAAGTTTTCCCAGGAGTGTACTTACACTGGTGATCTGTTCCTTGCAGTGGGGACACTCCACTGGTGGGGAAGAAGCAATCAAACCCACTACCCCCTTCCCTCATACACCCCAAAGTCCCCTGTGTAGAGAAGAACGAGTCCTACTCTTCTTAGTTCTAAGCATACCAGAGTCTGTTCACACTGCTCAACCCTTCAACACCTCCCACAATCCCTGTAGGAGTATTTGCTGCTCCCCTGAATCTCCACGGCTTGGGCAAGAGCCGTGGGGTGCAGCGAGGGAAGGGAGACCTCCTAGAGATGGAAAGTAGGTCTCTAGAAAGGAAAAGTGAAAAAATAAACCTCTGTCAGCCACTTTGTTCATGGTGGTATCTTCTCTCTGGGGTGGAAGGAAAACTGGCTCAGCATCAACCCTGAGAGCCACCTCCTGAAGGTAAAGGTTGAGGGCTCTCTGGCAGAGGACAACTGTCAAGACTGCATTTTCACAGTTAACAGGGGGAATTAGGGAAGAAAGCTTTAAAACACTAAGGCTCTTGTTTAAAAATATCGGGATGTGATGGGAGGGCTGTGATGGCCAAGCTCAGGGAAGACCCAGTTACTTCTGGAGCTATAAAACAGGACATGCTGTAGGGCTGGAGGATGGAGATGCATGCGCAAGTGTGAATAGGCTTCACGTGCATCGTGTCTATCTGCCATCTCAGAAATCACCCGTGAGTGTGTCTGAGGCCATGCCTCTCCAGTATGACCATGCTATAAGAGATTTACTCCTAATCTCTTGAACAACCAAATGCTTACACCTATGGAGTGCTGGACCTACAAAATGCAAGTCCATGAGACCACCTGTGTAATGTGGAGTTTGACCCTCCCTGGTTGAGTCTGAAGAGAGGCCAAACTAAGCCACAGGAGAGCATGCTGTGCCTGTCTGGTTGGTGAGGCAGTCACACTCACTGCTGCTGGGGAGGTAGGACCGTGACAGGCATATCACTACAGAGCTGTAAATTGACATTAGAGTTCAAGTAGAGTGATTAGCAGCTGCAGAGCATCTGGCATTTAATAACTTCTGTCTACATTATAAATGTCAGAACTGACTTACACCTCATTGGTTCCCAACAAAGGCAAAGCCAGATTGGTCTATCTGCTCTTTTGAGCTGCTCCGTGAGCCTGGATGCTGCTGCCAGGGCAGTGGACCCAACCCAGCCAGAGCTGCCAGCTGCAGTACGGTCCTTTCTGCCCCTGTCTGAGTTGGGCTTATTGCCAACAGCTGAGATTCGGCTGTGAGATGTTGTTAAGTCCCAGCTGACTGCTGGGGTTTAGAAAGAAAAGAGGCAATGTTCTGTCATGTGTTGTACCTAGAGGATGTGATACTCAGCTTTGGACCTTAATGGGAATTTTGTCCTCGAGCATTAGGTGAGCAAAGTGATTTGCTTTAGATAGCTGTACTTTCCTTCCCTGCTGAGGTTAAAATGTGGTATTTATCATGTGAACAGAGGTGGACATTAAATTACAGATGCTCATCTCCTAATATAATTTTCTGAGCTCTCACAAATCAAAGGACCTATATTCAAATTTATACTAATCAAACATCTTCAACATTCTCTCCCTCATATTGCTGCCAAAAGCATCAGTAACCAAGCACCAGAAACCCAGGGAGTCTAGAGGAATACATACCTGTAGAAAATACAGTACTCTAGCAACTTCTCATGAACCAATGACAAAAAAAAAAAAAAAAAGCCTCATAGCAGAAGTCAGCACAGCACATTGCCCACTTCCCCATATTTTTTGCCAGTGACATGCTTCTCCACCACCATAAAGCAATGAATCTACTGACCTCCCTGGCTCATTTCCCTGGCTGTTCATTACAGGGATGAGTAGGTCAGACAATCTTCTGGAGACCAGAGCATTGCACAAGACACACCCATTTTCTCCCTCCAGCTCCTGGAAATTTTGCAACAGTGCAGCATCCAGGACGCCGTGATCCTAGCAGAGATGGGACAACAGTGCAGCCCAGAAGCAAGCAGGGTTGTACGATTAGATTTGCAGTTATACACAAGATGCACACACCTTCCACAGTCACTGCCTTTCTCCAGCAAATCTATAGCCTCTCCCAAAGAGTTCTAGGGCCATCCATCCCCACCTACCTGCACAACATTTCAGGTCCCTGTGCTGCTTTAAAAAGCAATACTCATGCAGGGGGAGTACACTTATTTATTCCTAAAAGCACTAGTTTTGTCTGGTCATAAGACAGAAATTTAGTCCTCTTATACATGCCGTATCATACTATTTTGAATCATAAAACCCAGCAATATGCAAGCAAGGTTATCCTCCCAGATGCAGCTGCCTTGGGCTTGCACCCAGCCCAAAAGAGCAGTCAAACACTGGCACGGCTGTAACAGCAAACAACACCTGGCAGGCAGAGCCCCTGCTCCCTCCATCAGTTCAGCTCGGTGGCTCACCAGCTCCGTGGCTCTTGCAGCCTCCCCGTTCTCCGCCACCCTCCGCTCTCGTCCCCAGCCCCTCTGCGCTGAGTGTCGGTACAGACCTGGCAGCTAAGGACAGCTGGGTGCAGGGCTCCAGCCCCTCCTGGGGAAAAAGAATTAGGAAGATGTGAGCCCTGGAATCCCCCCGGGTAATACCCCTGGGGTGTGAGCAGGCAGAGGCTGGCTCCTTGGCTCCTGCAAGGACAGCAGCCTGGCTGTCACTGTCCCCTGTCCCCGGGATCAGTGCAAAAGGTAAGAGGCAAACAGGAAAACACCCAGCCTCAGCAGGCTGGGGGAGGGCAGGAGCCCGTGGCGTGGGTGCTGTCAGCCGGCCTCCCGCTGCAGGTGCCGGCTCCAGCCCTGGGCACAGAGGTGGGAGGCGCTGAGGGGGCACAGGGGCGGCTCCCGCGCCGCCACCTCGGGGTGACACAGGCCCCGGCACCGCGGGGTGCGGGCAGGGCCAGCACAAGGGGAGCGGGAGGGGGATGCCGGGGTGTCAGGGCATCACCAGTCCTGCCGCCCTGGCCCCACGCGAGCTGCCCGTGCACCCCGACACTCGCCTCCCCGCTGCCCTGCACGCTCACACCCACAAACGCACTGTGCCCCACGTGTCCTTGGGTCTAGACGAGGGACCACAGCTGTGCAGGTAGGCACATATGGAGGCATTTTTTAGAAAGAGCAATAGTGTCAGCAAAATCCACTGGGATTAGGAGCTGTGATGATGTAAGGTGAGGTCAGTCTTACAGTGACATTGCAACCTTTGGGGTGTGAGGAGGAAGGGAGGAGCCATTTCCAGGGCTGCCCCTCAAACCCAACACAAACAACTCACAACAGGGAGCCCTGGTTAACTCCTAACCATCACCTAAAAGGAAAAAAAAAAACCAAACCCTAAAAAAACTATTTTCCATTTGAGAAAGAAGCGTCTGTAGACACCACTTAGCCAAAGGGAGTGTTCCACCTGGAGCCTATTACAATGAATTTGCAAGGCAGCTGCATTTAAACTCATTCAGATGATGCAGGTGATGTGGGATAACATACTCTCGGCATCCCTGGGGCTGTGACAGACCGGCACTGGTGTGTCATGTGGCCCCTGACAGTTCTAAGCCCGCAGCAAGCAGGGACAGAGCTGGCCCCTCCTCAGCTTTACCAGGTGCTGTTGCTAGGATGGCTGCCAAGGAGGAGAATTTAGGGAGTGATTGAGGTATTTAAATGAATAGATGAAAACAGTATCTTGATATTTTCTTGCATGCCTGCTTTCAGCTTTATTCTGTGTTTTTGATGGGGTGAGGAACAGAGCCCATATTTTTATTGCCCATGACACTGCTGCATTCAAATGAGGCAGCAGGCTGTTAACAAAATGGGATAACTCCCATTACTGGGAAAAGACACGTCTGTAAGGATGGGCTGTGGTTAACTAGGAAAACTGCACTGCTTGATAAATAAATTGATTAGATCCTCCAGCAATGCAGAAGGATCAAAAATAGGGTTAGGGCAGCAAAGGTTCACTCCACTTTGGGGCAGCTTGAGTATGCTGAAAGGTGCTGCCTCAAACCTGGAGAGGTTCCAAAGGGGGATGAGGGAGGAGGAGGAAGAAGAAGAGGAGGAGGAGAGGAGAACGTGCATTGTCAGTGACAGAAGAAAGCAAGTAGTCAGGCCCTGCTTCCTCCTTGTAGGGGAAATTTGGGACAAAATTAGATCATATCACTTCCTGGCCCAGCCTTCCTCTTCCCATGGCTGAATAGCTGTGAAGGTGTTGGGGAAGAGGAGGATGCTTTGGTGTGGACTTGGCAGCCACTCCCTTCCTTTGGAAGGGGGACAGGCATAGGAAGGTTGCTGCTGGGACATGAGGCAGGCTGGGCACCGGCAACCAAGGAAGGCACTTTGAGCCAAGGCTTAGTGGCAACAACCCCATTTCTTGTCACCTCCCCTCAAGGTAGGGCTCCCCACTGGCACAAAGGATGATAGGCCATGGAGAAGATCTGAGCTGTGCTGGAGCAGCATCACCTAAACCCATGCTGGGGCAGCATCACAAAACCCACGCTGAAACAAGCAAAGAGGCCTTTTCCTGGGGAAGGTGGGAGCGCGTCATGGGGAGCAGCAGCCGGTGGGTGATGAGTTAGTCCCTGACCACTATCTGGGCAGGTGAAGGGTGTGGTGTCAACCTACCACGCCAAATGCAGCAGGGAGGTTACCAACCCGATAAGGGGTGTGATGGGCAGGGAGTGAACACCTTCTGGAGGGGAATAAGGGGCAAATCTCCCTTCAACCCCATATAAACACCATTGTACCTCTGGGATTTGCTTTATTTTTTGTTATATCACAGAAAGTTGATATTTGCAGTGATATTCCTAAAATCAGCAAGAGATCTGTGAACAGGATCCCACTGACTGTGATGGAGAAGAAAAATGTGAACACAGGATCCCACTCATCCCCTGTGATGGAGAAGAAAAATGTGAACACAGTGACTAACGGCTGCTTTCCCTCACCCCATAGCCTCCGCACACCACTAAGCACTGGAGTAACCTCTGGTGAAACCACTCCAGGTGATGCAGTTCCAGGGGGTACTAAGCTGTGTAGTTGGGCAAACCAAAGCAAGGATTGTTTTTAAAGAGATCTCAGGGTCTGTGTGGGACCTCATTTCTGCTGCCGTCACACCAGCACGGCTCCATTGCAGCTGAGAGGAGGATTATATCTTCATCAGGCAAGAGCAAATTTTTTTTTTTTAGAAGCATCTGTATAACTTCTATTTGACTTTGGTGGGACCTGAGAATGCATTAGACAGGGACAGTATTGTTTTTACATAGCAATGGCAATATACAAGGGCTAGGTTCAACTCTACAAAACCCCTCCAGGCAAGAAGTTTCTTTGCCCTCATGGATCTGTCAGTAGCTGAAGGTTTCATTTCCTTCAGAACAATGACGACATGTAGAGTGACGAGATCCCTCAGAAAGAAAATGCAGGTTTTCTCTGGAAGGTGATAAGGGACATTTCACAAGCACAAGGATTTTGCAGATCTCTTGAAACCATAGTCCTGGTGGAGGTGTGGAGGTCTTTTGTTTTTAAATTGATCTTACCTTTGTTTTGGGGAAAGAAATACTGAAGTAGGTATGGGGTGTAGATAATATAGTTTACTCTTTCAATGAATCGTTGCTCTTTCTTAGAAAGGTTACTGCTGTGGTTCTTGCATATAAATAGATGAAATCTAGCATGTTTCTGTCCAGATCATTATCTCTGGCACTTTCCCATACATATCATGTTAATCCTTCAAAATCAGGGGAAAGCACCAGAAAGTTATGCAAACCCTTGCAGAGCTTTGCTGTTGTCACAAGCAAAAAATGAAAAGTGCTGCACAGGGCAGCCCAGGGGGAGGGAGAAATAACTCAGAAGGTGCCTTTGGTCTCCTCTGGTCCCACAGTGAACTGAGCTGAGCTCTGCTTATGGCAGGCACCAGGTTGCAGCTGCCCACTTGCCTCTGCTTCCTTATGGCTGAGCCAAGGGAATGGGAAGATGACTGGGGCTTCGAGCCCTTCTCCATCTCTGGCCCCCATCCCAAGAATGTCTTCCCACAAAATGGCTCTATGTCTGAAGGTCTTGGCCGGCTGCTTTGAGTCATGACCACTGCTTCAGGCCAAATGCTGTAGAAGTGACTTTGGATTGGGGGTTATACAAATCATGTTACAAAGGATGGGCTTTCAGGAAAACCACAGCATTTGCTTTCTGCAGGTGAAGCTTGAGTTGGATAGTCAAAAATAAAAGTAGTCAGAACTGCACATAACATTTAGCAAACCTGGCCAAGAGGGTGACATTAATTGACCTGCTGGTATCCCAACACTAATGAAAGCACATCCAATTCCTAAAAGCAAGGACATGGACCACCTGCTCCCCTACATTTGCACAACCTCTCCTATTATGCAATTGCAAAATAAAGGTTTGCTTGGCTGCAGCATCAGGAGCGATGCCACAGGTCAGAGATGCAGCTGGCACAAGTTGGCAGAGCTGCAGCAAAGTAAGCAGAGCTGTGTGGATTTACACCAGCTGGGGAAACTGGCTTGCAATTTACAGCCTGCCATTGAAATACAATTTAGACTGAAAAAACCCCACAATGTTAGATTAAAAATGTGCTGACACCTGCAGTGTTTGAAGAGACACTGTATGGAGATGCTTCTGACCCTCATAACAAGGTTAAATGCAATTCCCTTACTTAAAAGTAATTCATAGAAGCTGGCAGAAGCACAAAGGCTGTAGTGTTATATTTTTATGATGATGATTTAGATGAGTCATCTCCAATCAGCAAGCACTCACTGCTTTAATGACCAGACAGGGGAAATTCAGTTTAGCAGTGACTGATGCTGCATTTTATTCTTCTGACTGTTCACCGGGCGTTGTGGGAAGGCTAAACCAGTAGTTACAAATTCATATTCACTCCAGACTTATGTCTCCTGAGAGCAAGCCATGATTATCACCTCCCACAGTACCTGTGCTGTGACTTCTGCCCCTTCCCAATAACAGCATTTTGGGTGATGTGCTGACTGGTGCCTGTGCTTTTCTCACCACCATGTAACACACTTCGACTGTCCCCACCACTCAGTCACCCAGGCACTGCTGCAAACACACGTGAAAAGCAGCACAATTACCTAACAATAAGCAGAAACTCCTTTAAAAAAAAAAAATCACAGTCATGCTCCATGGGTACATAAAGATGGCCATAAAATTCCTGGGCACATTCCTACTGGCTAGCAATGTTGTTTCACAATTGCCCCGGTACTGCTGGGGAATGAGCGCTTCCCGGGACAGGAGCACAGTAATCACATTAAATGGTCTCGGCTCAGTGCTGGGTACACAGGTGGCCACAGCTCAATAGCCACTAGTAGCACTGGCCCTTGGAACCTAGCAGCTGGCTACATTGCTCACAAAAATATTCAATTCCATTTTTTAACAAATGATAGTTAATTTTTTTCCTCAAATGAATCCGGTAAGTGAAAAACTGGATTTTTTTTTTTCTTTTAATTTACCCAACACACTCCCCCAACAAGCATTTAGTCCCATGAAAAGATTTTTTTAAACCCTTCCATCACCCTGAAGCTATCCCCAAGAGGAGGCCAAGTTTTGCCCCAAGCAAGCAGTGGTACAGGAGCCCAGGTAGTGACAGAACCATCACATTTCTTCTTTCCTGCTCCCAGGAGGAAACAGCCTGCCTGTGTACACTGCTGCTTCTGTCTCCACAGATTAGAAAAATGCATTAACAAGGGGGAGGAATAACTATCATATGTTTCCTTGAGAAAGAGCAGTGATACAGGCAGCTTTTTTGCTCTAAGGGATGCTTAGACTGTTTTTTCCACTCTTCTCCAGATTTGCAGGGATAAATCAGTCTGCTCCGAAGCTGGCTCAGACACATGTGCTGCCCTGGGTGCACTAACAGAGGTATCTGCACGGCTAACCGCATCCCTCCCCTGGCATGGATCCTGCGCCATCACAAGTCTTCCATGTGCTACTCACAGGGCACCTTACACTGTCAGGCGATTGCTGACAGGGACTGTTTTCCCCGTCCATTTAGGGCATAGATGATGCCTAAAAGGTCTGC